TCCTGTTTGAAATTAGAAAAATGACGCCATAATTTTCTTTCATGCACAGTATAAATTAGTGTAATTCATTTCTGAATATAAACCCATATTAGTATTTATATATTTGCAATTCATTTTTAAACAAATGTCTTTGCAAACTTGAACAAGTTGGAAACTTCAAAATGATTTCCATGGTCTGCTTCATAAGTATATAATCCGAGGAAGTAAGGAAGTAAAAAATGATATTTTTGCGTTAAAATTTAGTCTTATTAATTTGTTCCCTATTTAGCAATTGCAAAGCAAACTGGAGCTGCCGCCTGACATTGCTCCCTTTTAAGTATTTATTACTAATGTCAAAGTCAATTTATCTTTCTTGTGAAAGCACTTGCGGCACATTTTTCTTGCTGAATCCTTAGACAGAATTTCATTATGTATGTACAGCCAGTGCAAGGAATTTAGAATTCCCCTTCAGGCTTTGAAAGGAATAAGTATGGTAATTTATTGAATTTAGATGAGTAGCTACAAGTCTATCAATGGACTTCAAAGTATTTCTCTTGAATTCCAAACATCTTTACTATGTAACACTTCAGTTAGTTTAACTTGAGGAAAAGCTATTTAAAATGCTTCTTTACTTGTGTCCGTATTTTTAAACACAATTCGTTTTCTCTGAAATTTAGTTGCTGTTCTCGAAAGACTTGTGCTGAATTTTCACCCAAAATGGTTGCAATATTATAAAGGAAATTTATTTTGTTAATATTTTGTTAATTTTTTTTTTACACTAATCAGTTATCATATCACCAAGCCGTAATTATTCCATTTTTGAAATTTTATTGGTTGCAACAAATGTTTTTCATAACCTATATTAAATGGTTATCCTCCGCCCTTCGATATCATCTGAATTTCAAAATTAATTCTATTATCCTTTTAAATGTATCAATGTACACTGCACTGACATCTTATATCAGTCTAACCGCTGAATTTAGCACTCTTTTCGATAATTAAAAAAGTCTGATGTGTACACCACATGACTTTCTTGTACGGAATATTAAATTAGACGTATTTTTAATTGCATTTCATTTAAACGTATTGGGTTGAATTAAATCTACTTCGTCGACAGTGGATAAACCACAATAGAATAAATTCACTCTTTAAAATTCACTATATTTGTTTACCATAGCGACACTCTGGCGCTAGGTTCATTTAACAGCATTATATTTCGTTCATATTATAATTCAGAATGCCCAAAATTTATATCATTCGAAGAATAATCTAATAGTTGCCACATGTTCCATTCAAATACTATAATAAATCTAGAACGACGTATAAAAGAAATTAAGCAAACAAAACAAAAACGAAACAGTTTTTCACAGACGATTCAATATTTCTCATTCAATTAATTCAGCTCTCACTTCGTGACAAAACAAAAATACATAAAAACTCAAAATATCTATATTAAAAATTACGAAGTAAATCTTAAACACTTATTTCCTCGAATAAATTCGAGAACGGATTAAGCATGATTTAATTCGCAATAATAAAATAAGGCGTTATCTTTGTTGTTGAGAAGCTCAGTTTCTCTAGATTGGCAACAAATCCGTAATTCAGCCAAGTTTCAAATGTAAATAAACATGGCCGCCATCGCAAAAATAATTAGGCTTAGTCGCACTAAACTACTTTCAAATTGTTGATAACTCTAAAAATATTGCATGCAGATTTACTAAAGACATAAAAACCTTGACCGGAAGATAAGAGTAACATAATTCAATCATTTTTAAAGCAAAAAATGCACAATTTACAAACATATAAGAGTAAAGAGACTGAGATCACTGAGCCGGGTGACAGAGTATATATATATATATATATTTACATACGTTTGGTGCGGCCGACTGCAACCAAAATACGAGGTGCACATCTGAATGTTATAGCAGTCCTATATACAAAATTTCAACATTCTGAGGTACATTCTGAGTACATTCAACATTCTGAGTACAGACGCGACGAAAAATTCTCTTCAGAATTCATTTTAAAGTAGTTTTATAATTTTTTGAGTAAAACAGTCTTTTATTCTGTTCTTACGTACAGATGTCACGCAAAAACATCTTTAAATTGCATTCGATAGCGGTCAAAATGGATATTTTCGTTGAACTATGCTGCCTGAAACTTTTCGCGATTACAATACTTCCTTTTTACTTCGTACAAGGAAGTAACAAAGAGTGAATGATTCATTTTAAAATAAATTCGATAGCTGAAAACAAAACATGGTTGATTTACTTTTCAACCTGACTTATTTCTATGTGAAATAAAACAATCCTAAATGCCTTAAGATTTCCTTTTGACGAATTGCTTTGAATGTTTTAGAATGCTTTTACCAGTTATATAATTGCTTTTTCTTAAAATATATAAACTTTCTCTGAGAATTAAACAATGATTGTGTTTAGTTAAATATTTACGTTTGAGGATATTATTTACATTAATTTTGGAATAATATGTTTGTAAGAAGAACGTTTCGAAATGTGTTCTTATTATTTGTCATCGTTATTCTCTTTCATACGAAAATTCAATTCTTAAATCTTCTTTGTAGCTTATTTCTTTAATCCTAAATGAAAGCATTTGCTTTTGTATTTCTCAAAGCATTGGTAGATCTAATGACCTTATTTTCAGCGGAAATTTTAACTAATGTTTATCTATGGAGCTTTCAAAGCCAGCACTCGAAAAGAAAAATTTTACATTTATTTCTTTTTTTGAAAATTATGTCAAACCAAAGATTCACTGAGAGAGGTGTAACCGAACTTCTCTTGTTTACTTTCTGCTTGCCGGGCAGTTTCAAGCCTTTGACTGTCCTCCTTTTTTATTCCTTTTTGAAATGCCTCACTTACAATCGCTAAACTTAAACCGAATGATGTCTGGTCTTTGCGCTTTGTTTTTTGTTTTGCTCAATCTTCGTTATTGTTGTTTTAAAATCAACACCGATACTCATAAATCATATCAAACTTTGGAAAGTTGAATACAAATTTGCTAAAAAAATAAGTAATTTGGGAATTTTATAAAAGAGGTAATACTTATTTGACAGATTTATCCTTCTGTCTTTAATCGTTGATCTCAGACATAAACATCTAATAACATTTTCAAAATAGCCTCTGTTTCAACTTGGGTTTTATGGAAGCTGTTTCAACTTTGAGTATGTATAAGCTCTGATTTAGCTAACACGTTATTTTTTATGCTAAATCTTTTCTATATCTTCTACTTTTCCCCTCAGCCTCCAGCAGAATGCATATTAATTTTATTCTAATTAGTGAACGAAGCTGTAATTTAGAGAGGATATAGTAGTTAGGGGAGCCTACCAGGATGCCAGAGGGCTCGCAATCGATTTCCGGAGAAGGCATGGATGTAAATTGTCTGTCCACCTCATAAGAGGTAACGATGGCTGCTTATGTACATTTATTGTTCTTATTATTTCGTTGACTCTCTATTTACACCTATTACGTGCCTCCATAATACAATAACCACAACAGCTGGCCTTAGTAGTGGCGAAAATCTAAAAATGGCTAGTGCCCACCATAAAAGAATCTTATCTCTGTTATTAGATCTTAGTTAGATTTCTCTGTAGTTATAGTTAAAGATTATAGTTCTTCGGGACAAGACGAGTTAAACGGTTGCAGTTGGATTTATCTAATTAGATTTTAATTTTATAGATGAAGAGAGCTCTATAAAAAGGTTCTAAATTTTTATATATTTTTGTAAAGTAATATACATTGTAAACAATGCTATGCAAAATTCGTTAAGATATTCGAGAACGAATTTAGACTATTGTTCTGTGGTATTACCGATTTAAAGTTATGATATTTAACGGCAGATTTGGGGAGCCTCCACGAAAGTCAGTTGCTATTTTTTACAAATAATATTACCAATTTGAATGAAATAACATTAATTATTAATATTACTGAAGATGATGTCCTTGGTGAAAATGCTTCTAATTGTATTTCCATGAACTGTTCACGTAAAGTATGCCATTCTCAGTCTATGCCTTAATGTTCGAAAAAATATTATATTGCTACGTTGGGTTAGGGTCTTACCCAGGGGCTCGAATTCATGGACATTAGTTCAACCAGGCATGTGGAATGATTTATTTTTATTAACTGATGCACAGTGACATAATGAAAACGTTACTAAATAAGAATTTTTTTCCCCTAAAACAGGCCTTATATTTTTATTTTCCTTCATTTTTTTAAACTTCGGATTTCCCCATTTACACATTCAGATTATTACTATAAATTCAGTTAAGAAGCTTCATTAGAAGATTTATGGTCATTGTTTAATGAAATAAAACTCGTGCCCACCTAATTTTCAAACACAGTGTTTATCATTAATCAATTCAGTTTCAGTTTACACTAACGAACCAGAAATCGTTAAAATATTATTATTTTTTTACTGAAACTTAATATATGCCTTTAAAATTGTATTGTAAAAAAATGAATGTTTCTCATTACCTTCCAACAAAGTAAACGCAGTTTATGAATAAAACTATTATACCATAACATTCGGAATTGCATACGTTGTATACGTATAACCGTAATCAAATAATTTGAAATTTAGAATACTGTTGTTAGGAAAAGAATTTAATGAAGGTTAGAGAGTTTTTAAACGAATTATGTTCCCAATATTAAGCTTTTAACTTACGTATTCTTTCTTATTAATTTAGCTTTCTACCGTGCATATTAATGTATGTTATTTCCTTGCTTTGGAAAAAGTGATAGTTATTAACGTTTTGCCTTTCGTTTAAGGAGACTTTTCGCTTAATGGTATTTTATTAAAAACATTTTACCTTATTTTACGATCTATAGAAAATAAATTTTCCTTAATACCCTATTCATCACAAATGTTTTTTGGAAAAATGTTTTTGCGCAAAGCAATATTGCATTGCTTAAAATTTTTTTATTGAAATTTAATTTATTTAGCATAGATATTTAAAAGCATTTGCGAATAATATATATTCTTATATATTTTCTTTGTATCTTTCTTAGTTTATTTCTTCAGCGCTCAAGCTGGTGTACCGTACTATGGAACAAAGATTGGAACTTTCAAGACTTTTGCACATGACGTAGTGGGTGACGTTTATGCAGTAGATGACAGGACAATCTTTCTGAAAGATTTTTCCTATGACGGTCAAGGTCCAGGTGAGAGAGAAATTTAAACACATACTTTTTATTAGTAATTCCATTTTAGATTTTACAGCTACTTATTTTTCATTTTTTACTTTTTCTGACGACAGGAAAGACTTTTAACCATAGATTAAGCACGTGAGTGACAGGTGACAGGTATATATAACAAGTCAATCGCCAGAAGACGGAAACGACAAAATGTGAATATTACGAACATTGTTGTTGAAGATACGAATGCTGAATAAAAAAATGCGTTATATTCAATATATCGGCTGTACCCGTTGAACGCGAGGTTAAAATTTAGCAAATAAATTTAGATTTTTATTTTTGTAACATTAGCCGAATAATAACTTTAAACGATGAGAACAAATACCCTTCAAAATAGTCATGTTTAAACTAATTTAGTATAAATAATTAGAAACATAAAATTAGGTACTTTCTCAGTATTTTAATTAGGAAAATGCGAGTTTATTTACAAAGTGTTTTAATGACTTTAATTAAAAGTTATCTATGAACGTTTCATAACATTTCTGAAAATTATTTGGTTCTCTTAATTAGGCAAAAAAGCACTGTTTATTTGCTGTGGATGCTCTTACTGTTTTTTCAAGGAAAGAAAAAATCTGCAAACCATTTTTTTTTACTCCTGAAGAAGCAGGGATATATATCTGATCACCCTTAAAATTTATAGAGTTATTGAAAATCGTGATGAAATTAAGGTTTTTTTCTTTCCTTATGTTAAATAGTTGACTGAATTCGATATTAAGCTATTTGGCTACTTAAATCCCTTACGTGGCGCCATTTCTCTGTTACTTGGCAGTTTTATAGTCTATTTTGATTTTATTTGGCGATTTTACTTCAATTTACAAAGTGTATTGTATAACCAAACTGTTGATCAAAATAAGTGAAGTATTTTCCATATTTTTGTATACGAACGCGTGTAACTTCGGCAATAATGTTGCGTTCTACGGGTTCGTGGATTTGGAGTAATAGACGATAATCCTTGATAAAGCATCAGAACACAGTTATTTGCCAATTTTATACAGGGAGGTTACAAAGACATGTTACACTCGTCGAAAAACTATGATAAACACGCTGAAACAATCAGCGAAACAGCCTTCAGACTATAACAGTGAAGACAGCTTCACGACAAAGCACTAAAGTACAGCTTCCGACTAGGTCGCTCTCAGGCTAATCTCTGAACTTAAGACACTACTCTTTCTCTCAGAACAGGCAGGGTATATATAGCTTTAACTCACTTTCAAGAATATTCTCTGAAAATAGCCGCTAAAAATGCGTTCTAGAATAGTTTCGCTCCGTCTATAGCATGTCGCCAATTTTGTTGCTAAATATCGCCAGCTGGACGATTTTCCTCCAGATCTGGCAACCCTGCCTTTGAAAGCCAATTTCTGATAACCCTAAGCCCGCCATTTAGCTAACCCACCCGCATTTCCCAACAATAAAAATAACGGAATAATAACATTAACCGCTATTACCTGCTGAAAACCAAATTTTATTTTCGTTTCTGTTGACAACTAATTCATATTTCATGCTGCTATTGTTTTAAGAAATGAATATAGCATAGTATGGATAAATGTATGATAGCTTGTCGTTATTACTGCCTGAAAAAGTTTTGTTAATAGTATGCAACAGCACTCATCTCATTAATTTTTCGTAAAATTTCTAACCCAGAATATCAGCATTAGAATTGCTCTCTATTATTATTTTTTATTGCCTTTAATTTTCTGATTACTAGCTTTCTGTTTATATTTTCAGTTCATGTATGTGCTTATTTATTTTCTGCATTTGATTTTCTTCATATCAAGCTTTTACATTTCTATAAATGCGTAGGAGAGGTATATATTCTGTCTTAACATATTTGTAATGAATGCAGTCGCTTGACGTATATATGCTGTAAGAGTTTTTCATCATAATTTACTGCATACACTTTGAAAACATGTTCGCGAAAAATCTGTTATCCTTAATTTCGGGAAACTGTGGGGGTGGTGAGCTTTAGTTCTAAAGGATGAATATGATAAGAATAAGCAAAGTCTACATGAATGTTAAATATAAGTTAAGCACATTATTAAAATGCTTCACATAAATTATTATTATTATAACACAAACACTAAACGGTGTAATACTATTGTGCGTAATAATTCTAAAGATAGTACGTCATGACTATGAATGAAACCCTCTCATCATGCATGGCCGTTATTCATTTAAAAGTAATAGTAGATGAATTAGCAACAGAGGTAAACCACTATGTGAGAGTAATCTAAATAAGCTCTAAGTATCCAACATTAAGGCAAATCTACGAATTATGAACCAGTGGCTTTTGAGGCCTGATGATAATATCCTGACTGTTACGTGATACTAGTGCCATAGGAATCGCGTAGGAAACAGTATAGAGGATGGGACTGGTTTAAGTCAATTTAACACAGGAATGAGAGATTGTCGGAACTGATACAATTTCGAACCAAGCTAGTATCAGATTAAACGTGTTGGAATATGCGCTTCATTACACTTACCACTTATCTGTCCTCGCACATTGCTATTCGACCATTAATTGCTTCTAGTGTGTTTACGATGCAACGATAGTTGTCAAGTTAAACCTCTATCTAATATTACCTTTGTTTGATGTAATTTGTAAAATTACGTATGGCAACAGTGGAGGTTTTTTATATTTACATTTTGAGCTTGTTCTTTTAGTTAGAAAAATGTCTTCGAGTTGCATTTGACATGCATTTTGAGAATTAATGAGTATTATCTTAACGTCATTTATATTTTGAGTGTTGTAACGAGATGTTTCCTTTAATAATTGATTACACACATTTCCATTACTAATTCTTTTGATGTTCGAAGGCAAAAAGGAACCAACAGTACATTTCGTTAACGATGGGGATATTAAGGCATTCTATTATACAGGAAAGTTTCTCTTGACAGTACAACAGAATTGTATCATTATGACAGAAATTCGAAAAATGGATAATAGTTTCTACCTGGGTTTTTGCAGTTTCAATGAGCATTTCGTTAAGAATGAAGAGACAAGACATTCATTTTATTGATACCTAGTAACTGCTGAAAGGATAATGATCACAAACATTACAAATTATATAGATATATAGCAGAACTTGATAAATACATCGTAAATTTGCCGTACAGCAACTTCAAGCAAACTTCAGAAATTTTTTGTCTTTTTTTTATTGCATTAGTTTGTGGTATTTATGTTGTTGTATAACACTGAGTTTTGCTGACATCAGATTCCATGCTAGAAATATAAGTTTGTTTTAAATCACGTTATGCTACAAATTTACCACATGAATTTTGTTTACTTGGAATCTATCTTTCATTTTTCAACTAAGTGTCATATTTTATAATGGTTTGAAAATTGTGTAGTATGGAAAATAACGCAGCTTTAGATAGCAAGAAAACTGATCTCAATTATTACATTATTATATATCCTTAATAAATATTAAGCAAAATAACAAGCAAAATTTCTTTCTCGTAGATGCTTTTTTCTGGGGAGGATCTTCTTCTAAGCCAGATACATCCGGTTTCATAATACCAGATGAAAAAGGAAAGTAAGTATTATTAACAACTGCATATCGAAGTATGTTGCTCAATTGTAACTGCTTGCTAGATAACTTTATTCTATTCAGTTACGTTATAGAGATTTATTTAAGCAACTTTCCTTTCAGTCTCGTTTTCACTTACGCTTTCTTAACAGAATGTTAATAAGCTAGTGCGTGTATATTCAAATGAGGTACAAAGAAGTGGTATTTAAGGAAAGCGTTGGGAAGGTGATCTTATGCTTACTTGAAGGCCACGTTGCTATCTTGAATTACTAATTATTGAATTTCTGTGGCACTAAGCGCTTCCAGCCATTAAGCTTGTTTTCGCCGAATTCTACGAGTCAGAACCTTCCTGTGCATTAAATTATCCTGTGACAAATTATCCTTACTACATTTTATTTTAAGTTCACCGGTATCTGTTTTGAGTTAAGCCAGAAGTGTTAGCTTTGTGTAAGCCCAAGTGAGGGCATCTGTGAAATTCAGTGAGTAAAGGATGCTTTACACCCTTTTTCTGACTTCTTGTCGTCATAAGACCTGAGGATGATTTCTCATATAGTCTTTTAGAGCTCGTTAGTTTATACTACCTAAGAATACGAGGATCTATAATGTTCATTTCCACGAATATTTGAAAAATAAATTGTTTTTCTTTGAATAAATAAAAAAAAATTATTTTTAAACCTTAAAATTTATAACAATTTTTATTGAAAATGTTGCCTTGCATTATTGTTAAAATATGGAATTTTACTGCGGTCATTTGCACAACACACACACATGTATAGAGAGTAAAACAAATTAAGCGAAATATAAGAACAAAAAAATCAAATTCACTACCTCATGGAGACCAAATGAAAAAGAATATTTGCTTGTAAGAAAAATAAAAAAAAAAAAAAAATCCGAATAACTGAAAGAGCTGAGATGAATGAAGGAAAAGAAAAAAAATGATAGGTTTCTGTTGTAAAAGAGCATCCCAGAAAATATTCAAAATTCAAAATCGCCTTTTTTAATCATCCTTTTGGGCTGTTTTACTCATGACGACTATAAAAGCATACACAATTTCATTTCTTTTTCCATCTATCAATCTCCTCTGTTTATCCGAAACATTAATTTTTTTAAAAGTTTTATCTTGTTAATTAAGATAATTAAGATAAATTAAGATAGATTTGATCTTGTTGTTAAGTAAAAATTCCTTTTACTTGCTGTCCATGAGGTAGTGATTTTGATTTTGCATGTTGATCTAAACTGCTTTACTTATTTACCCGAATTACAGCAGAAAAAGTTACACTTTTAATGAATTATTTTTGTTATTCTTTTGTTTCTAATTGATCTTTGATTACATATACATTAATGTTAAACACGTAATTAAAATAGACAGAAGGGTTAATTCTTTTCAGAGGAAATTAAGACTTCCTCCACAAGACGTTATTTAACCCTCTCCGGCACGCTACCTTTTAAAGTCGGAGTTTTGATATATATATATATATATATATATATATAGCTAAGCAGTCTAATTAGGCCTAGAGGAGTACACAAGTAAAATTTTGTGCAGCTAGCACTTATCGTTTTAATTCTGTGGGTGTGCCCAATGTGGCACACTGATTGAATAGAGCTTCGAAAAAGAGTGCTCAAACGAGCATTGTTGTCAATGAACTGACCGATGAGATGCCGAGAAACAAAGAATACAGACTCTCAGTTGTCCTAGATTATCGATGAGCCCGATCTGGGCACACCTAGCGTTCGCCGTTTGATTTCGAGCAAGATTTCAAGGTAAAAATTTAAAACTAATATAGCATAAGGAGATTAGCATACAGCCAAAAATCTAATAGAAATTTCTTTTCAAACAATTCCTTTTATACCCTAAAAAAATCTGGAAGATTTCTTTGAAAAATACTAGTCTTAAAAACCTAAACATGGCTAAAATATATGGACTGGTTTGTGTTGAGCTGCCATCTACTATAAATAAAGAAGGTTCAGAGTAACTTATAAATATTTCTTCATTCATTTTTTATGAGCGTATAAAAGGAAATTTTAAGGTGTGTCCAGACCGGACACACTGTGCCACAAAGAGTTAAGAGTCTGATTTTAAATCTGTTAAAAATGGGAACTTTGGAAATGGGGCTATATAATGGAAATGGGACTTTGTAAGGGTTAAGTTGCAGTTCATCAAGTCAAAGGTTGCTAGTCATAATAATTTATTTACGATTAACAGCAATATTATTGTAAAGTAATGTTGTTATTAACCATAAATAAGTTATTACTTTTAATTTCTGGCGACACGCACTATACAGATAACATAGTCCTTAAAAAATATCACAATGATATATTCTTACCAAAAGAAAAGAAAATCATGTTAAACATATAGCAGTCTTAGCAAGGTCGAATTTTAAACTTTATGCAATTGACCTTAATATGGAACGATGTAGTGAGATCAGAATTAAAATCAGAAGAGCTGAGAGCAAGTAGAGAAAATAATTATAATTCAACGGATTAATATTAAGAATTATTTGTATCTTGACCATGCTTTTACACTAACTTATTACTGCAATTTTCTGAATCATAGAATTATATAATTTAATAATGAAAATTATGTTTCCTTTTGCATACAATGAAGAAATTAATTTATAAATATAATACAAACACTTAATTTATTCGTTCCCTAAGCATATTTTATGAAGATAATTTTAGCAACCAGCCACGCTTTCGTGGTGCATTCTACTTGCAAATTTAATTTCAATTTTGTTACTTTTCACAGGAAAACGCCTCTGAAGGAATACAGAAACAAAGACATACTTTTACGGCTGCCTGCCGGAAAAACTCTCAGGAACATAAATTGGATCTCAGTTTGGTGTCGCAAATTTAGTGTAAGTAACTAGGTGTTCTTAATTTAAAGCTCCTAGCATCTTTTAAACATATCTTGCATTCTCCTGGGAGCTCCTATCACCCTTTAATTCGATTATCTAAGGTATACGCAAATTGTTTCTGTTCCTGACATGAGTTTGTAAAAAATGCAAGCATTTGATTTTGATATTTTTGAGAAAAATATTTAGTTAGTTCAAAGATGGTATCATAGCAAAATTTTCATAAGCCATCGTTAGTGCAAGGAAGACGTAACTTCTGAGCATTAGGATTATGTAATAACGGCAGAGCAATATAGGGCTATCTGCCTAAGGGGAAGGATGCCTTCGTGGATGAATTTGAAGGAAACCTGGCTTGCATACACGTTATACATGCGGAAAACTACAAGAAAGCCCATGCAACCAGCTCGCTCGCGGGAATTCGAACCCCGGACCGAACTACCAGTGTTCAGCAACTTTACCGCTCGGCCGCTGATGGGCCTGAGCATACTGAAGACTGAACTCGAATACTTAATAGTAGCGAAAGTCATGACGGCTGTATGCCTAAGGAATGAGATGCCTTCAGTGAGGAGTTTCTAAAGAAAACTGGCTTGTATTTACGCTATATGTAAGGGAAATCGCAAAACTACATGCAGCTAGCTCGTTCGCAGAGACCCTGGCTAAACTACCAGAGTCCAGTGATTTAATCCGCTCAGCTGCTGGTGGGTTATTGATAGAAATAAGATAGAAATTTAAAAATGTTTCCCAAAGTTTAATAACAAATTTGAAATTTATTTATATGCAGTATTTTCTTACACACTCGGACTTATGCAAAATTACAGTATGAGTTCAATAATTTCAATTTTCACTTGATATGGATGTATTGATGAGGTTATAAGGTATTTCTCCCGCCTTCCTAGCGTGCCTTCGTGGTGTAGTGGTCTGCACGCTGGGCCGGTATTCCAAGGGTCCGTGGTTCGATTCCCGGCGAAGGCGTTGCTAATTTTTCAACTTGCCTATTTCTAAAAAATACTTAATGTCTCTACAAGGTTAATAACATTAAATTTTTAATAGAATTTCAGAATTAGAAAAAGAAACGGGGAAATAAAATTGATAACGATTGAATTCAACTCTGAAAAATAAACCATTGTAAGGAATAACTACAAATGAAATATTTGTGGAGCTTTTAATCTCGATTAAAAATTTTTGCAGACTGTTTTCACAGAGCCATTTGAAACATTTCATAAAAGTTAGCAAATAAATGAAGTTATATAAGAAAATTTCGCCGATGTAATAGGATCATGTCATTCTGAAACAGGAAAAAAAAAAAAAAAAAAAAAAAAAAAAAAAAAGTAGGTGAAAATAGTTCTTCTGGAAGAGCGAACGTTAGAATAAAGAAAAACGGCAACGTTGTTGCCTTTTCTAATGACTGAGAGGCATTTCTATAATCTGAAGCTTCACATTTCTTTTCGATTTTAGCAAATTTACACCACTAATAACACTAAATCCGGTATTTTGGAAGAATTATACAGACAGTTACACGCATTCTCTAATCTAGTATACATACTTTGAACATTTTCTAAGTTTATCTTCTATAAACCTAAATGATCTACCTAAAATTCCCACAAATCTTTTCAAATGAAATTTTATTCTTAATTCGGCGAATGGATTTTTTTCTAAAATATTATAACGCAAAGGAAAATTTAAGTTATTAAAATCCTATTACGAATGTTCAAGTCTGATTATTTTAAATTACATTTAATTCTAGTGTTCCAGGGAGGTCAAAGAGCTCAAGAAAATCGAGATCATCTCTGTCTGTCTGTCTGTTCGACTGACAACCATTAACTAGGCCGTCGTCTGCTCTAAAAGCAAAACGGTCCCCAACTGCCCCCGGGATCGACGACTTCTCTGATGGGTAATTCTAGATCAGTCTCGTTTCCCATTTGTGAGATGATAAATATTTTCATTAGACAGTGTTCATGATTACGTGCTGCAGTTGATGGATCGGGAGATGTTTTTACCACTTTCGGCGAAGGAGGTTCTGAAAGTGGTGTCGACCGGGTCGCTGTCCGACCCACTTATTCTGTTCCCCCCTTTCCCCAGGAAGTGCATTTAATTACTGCCAGAGGAATTACTTGATTTGTGGTTGAATTAATCGCTTGAGTTGAGTGAAATCAAGTCATTTGCCTGAAACTAATACACTCTAGATTAAAGCGGATCTGATTCAATGAATTTATTACAGAAACGGAATTAAGTATTATTGAATCCCAAATTAAGGACCCTTAATCAATAAAAATGGATTAAACTTTTTAAATATGGCACAGTAAACTGAAGCAAGTTCCTGAAAAACATTTTTTTTTTTTTTTTTTTTTTTCATTTCTTAACGTTGACTGAGTGTAAAAAATTGACATTTCAAACTTAGAAAATATTTCGCAAATTATATAAACGTCTCAAGATATTATTAGCCGAAAGGGCTCTGGCCCAGGTAGGCTATTAATTTCGTTTTGGAATTTTGAGTCAAAAATTTTAAAAGTCTGAATCACTTTTCAAATTGTTTCCACCAAATATTATCGCCCTGTATTATATTTAAAGAAATTAAATAATGAAGAATCTGCATAAATGTGTGTATGTCTCTCGCATTGTGATAAAACAACGGTGCCTAGAGCATCCAATTTTGAATAACTTATGTCTCCACCCGAATATGGGCATCTGGAAGCCCAAATTTGGAATTTGGAATTTCTTTTATTATCTATTTCATATTTTCTAAGGCACTTATAAGTTTTTATTTAAGAGACTCAACGATTTTAAAGCAAACAATAGCAACACTGTACGAAAAAAAAAATTGCATTTTTATCTCCAGCGCGCTAGACTGTGTATCAGAAATTCTGAAGATATGCTCTTTTAAAATTATTTTGCGATATTACTATTGAATTGAATTTTATGGTTTAAGTGCGTAAAACATGATATTTAATAGCTAAAGGTAATATACTAAACGTTAAAAAAGTCTCTTTAGGCGTAATATAAAATCTGAAAACTTGCAGATTTGTTAATTGTTATTTTTTAATTTTTTGATGACAGAAAACCATTCAAAGCCATTTGATGGCAAGCTGATGAGAGAAGGCAGATATCAGCGCCTAAAGGCCCAATTTGGAGCCTCGTCTAAGGCACATTTGTGACGCTAGTGTTAATCCAGAATGCGGCACTTGAAATTCGTCAACACTAAAAGTTTTTAGATAAGCTGTTGGAAGAAGGATAGATGCCAATTTTTCTAGCCCCTCACATGATCAATTAATTAGGACCGCTGAATACTGATATTTCGACCCGGTTCGAATCCAAGCAAACTGGCTAGCTTCTTGAGTGGCTTTCGGGGTTTTCCTCGTATATAACGCGAATCCGTGCAAATTTCTGTCAGAAATTTCTTTACGAAGGCACCCTTTTCTTTGACAAACATTCAATGTATGTTTTCGCCATACTCAAAATAATCTTACTTGATCTTATGATATTTTAGATCGAAACTGTGATGCAGTTAGGTACATTTTTGCTATTACAATTAGCGCTGAAATTTTTTAATTAAAGTTAATAACAAAGACCTTAAGTCATGATTTTCCCCAAGATTTGCCTATGCGATTATACATATATGTACATTACATAAGAATACGTGTAATGTCGAAAGAACAGGCTGAAGATAAGCCTAAATGTAACAAACTTATTAAGTTAGGTGAGTTAAAAGAGGTTAATTTAGGATGCCATATTAAAATGTTTAATCTAAATACGTTAGTAAATGATGGATTCAACGACAACTGTAAAAATAAAATGGTGAGGATTTGACTAAGTGGGAGAAAAACAATTTAAAAATAAGCTTAAAAACGATAAAACAAATGCTTTTAAGGCAGCTTCTGATCTCTCTTTCCGTATGTTAATTCAACGCCTAATTTTAAAATTGAACAATAACATATTCAAAATTTAATTCTTACACTTGATCTCAGCATGTGTACGAATACAGCTGCTGAGTAGAGATCAGTGTTTTTCAAACTGTAACGCTTATAAGATGTTATGAAGTCGGGTAAATTAAAAATTAATTAAAAAAACACAGTAATAACTAACGACAGCAATAAATTAAAAAAAAGACAGAAATAACTTAACAGTTTCTTTCTTTCTTCTTTATTTTGGAAAAACAAATACAGTTCTTTAGATACGAAATAAAAATGAATAAGGCCTTATAATAGGGCAAAGATATGTGAACAGATAGTTGCATATGTTATTAATAAACAGCATCGTATGTTTAGTAAATGTGGTAGTGGTGGCAGTATTTCAAGGTACATTAGAAATAGAGACGAGGCGAATTACACGTTTCTCGAATCCAAATAAAAACACTAAAAGGTACTCGAATCTTTCGAATATTGGAGAAAGTTGAACGGCTTTGAATCTTCCGATTTCTGTATGAGAGGAAATTTCGAAGGAGAGAGGAAGAGAAGGAAAAAAAAGTTTAACATTATTTTAAGTTAATTCAAAATTAAAAATTTGCATTTAATAAAAACATTTAAAAATACATTTTTAATAATATATCAGTTCGCTGTAATGCCTATTTTTAATCTGTGTTGCATTAATGAAAAGAAAATAATTGAATTAGGCCATGTCTGCGAGTTTGTGCTTCTTTATGCATCATCTGTCTAGTAGGACGCTAGCAACTGTCCCAAGTTATCACGCACACACATATATATTTATATTATATTAAATTGTGGTTGTAAGGTATATAACAGAGGACTTAATGATCCATAAGTTTTGCCATGACTTTTATAACTTGTTCCAAAAGGAAGTTTAACTAATAAAATGAAACCTAAATCCACAAATTTATATGATTAAAATTATAAAACATTAAAATCTTGACCCTTTAAAATTAAAAAATAAATAAATAAAAAATCTGAAAGGTTTTAGATTTTAAATAATGTCCAAAGGGGCGTTTTTTTAACATGTTGTGTCTAACGTATTTTAAACATTTTTTTAACATGTTACCTTTATTTATTAAATATCACGTTCTTCGCAATTAAACCATAAAATTCAGTTCAAGAGCAATATTGCAAGATAATTTTAAATTGAGCATAACTTTAGAATTTCCGATACTCAGTGTCACGCGTTGGAATTAAAAATGTCTTTTCTGTGCAACGTTGCCATCGCTCGCTTTCAAATCCTTGAGTTTGTTAATCAAAAATTCGTTAAAGATTTACAAAATATGAAATCGATAATAAAACAAATTCCAAATTTCAAAATTGGGCTTCCACATGTCTCCATTCGCAGTAGGATTACGTCATTCAAAATTCGATGGCTCTAGGTACCGTTGTTTTATCACAATGAGAAAAATAGACATACATTTATGCAAAATTTTCATTACTTAATTTCTTCAAATATAATGCAGGACTCTAACATTTGGTGACAACAGTTTGAAAAGTGAAACGGGCATTTATAGTGAACCAACGCAAAACTGAAAAACGAAAACAGCACTCCTTCAGGGACTAAAGCCCCTTTGGAATAATAACAATGTTTCAGAAACATTGCTTTAATCAGTGAAGAGCTAAGTGTGAAAAAAAGGTAAAATCTTTATTAAATTTTTTCGGTAAGTGCCTAAGTGACAAGCGTCGAGTTGTTGGAATAAGTCTCCACTGGAATTACAAGTTGAGTTTCATCAGAATTTCGATGCATGGAATTTTTATGTTTTATGCAGCACTTAAATTAATTAAATTTAAATCTTTAATATACCCCAGTATTTTCCTTTATTTGGTCTCATTTTGAGTATAGCAATATTGTTCTGTATCGATGAAACGTGGGCATATGAAATATGTTTGTATTAAAATGATAATCTAAAATGAAAGAGATAAGTCGTGTTTCACAGAAAATAATATCAATATTTAAAATGAGTACAGAAAGGAATACAAAATATATTAAACAGAGTAAAAATATCTCATAATAATAATACTCCCACATTTCCTGATATCTCATGATCATACCTAAATAATTTACTATAACGCTTAAATTTTCGTATTTCTTTAGTTTTCTAACTGGAATATTACAAAATATAAACTGAAAAATACTTTGAATATATATATATATAAAACTAATATTTGACAAATATGATATTATTATATTTCTCAGAAGATGAGTTTTGTAGTCTGAGTCGAACTTCATAACATTTATTAATAAATTAAATAAACTGTGTAGAACATCAATTTATACAAATATAAGTTATTATATATATATATATATATATATTTAATAATTTTCATGAATAAATGCATTTCACAAATAAAATTTTAATAAATTATTCTCCAGAGATGATGTAAGTGATAAATTAGTTACTGTGGGTAAGGAATTAAAATTGTTTTTCTCATGTTCCTATGGTGTAAATGCGAGATAGTTATTCAAACGTTTATGTTCATCTCCCAGCTAAGTATTTGCTTTTACAATTATTCCTTTTTCATCAAATTTACTTTTTTCTTCGTAACTTTAAAAGAGGACAAAAATAGTTTTCCTTGTTAGATTTTCAAAATTCATATTTTTCTTTATTTATTTCAGGCCAATTTTGGAGAAATCTTCATCCCTGAAAACTTGCTCATTCCTCAGCCCGTTGAAATTGGTCGCATTCCTACCAAAGAACACGGAGTTTCTTCAGGACCTGTGATGGTTGTAGACACTCAGACATTATTAGTTCCAGAATTCACATACGATGGCTTAGGACCTGGTAATTTTGTAGAGTTTTCCCTCATAATATCATACATGCAATTTTATTAAGATGATAAAAGATTAAAATTTTGTCAGCTTTCGAAGTTAGTATATGCTATTCGTTCTTCCTTTTACTAAATGTATTGAAAAAACATGAATTCATTTTAGATTAGTAGATATTATTCTTATCGTAATGATAAAAATTAGCACCTTAAATTTAAGTAATGGGGTTAGATGAAAGCCTTTGTTAAACGTAAATGTTTCCTGCCTTTATAAATGCAAAAATAAAAAAATAAAATTTATAATTTTATAATTAAAATTTAAAAATTTTACGAAATCGTTAACCCTTAATTTGCTATGCAGAGTTTTCTTAAACTGTGGATGGCACCCCATGGGTCGCAAAAAATTTTAGCAGTTTAGCAGTTAGGCTGGCCACCAGACCTCGAAGCCCGATTTTCGAACTGTTTTGAATTTCTTTAACTTAAATAATAATTTTAAGTTTTACAATTACCAAATATTTTTACACAGTGTATCTGAAAAATAGATAAAGATAAGACAATACAGACACAAGAGAAAAACGAAAACGTTTCGACGCATTCTTTTTTATATATAAATACGTTCATTTTACTTGCTTTTACGTGACGCTGTGATTTCGTCTGTTACTTATTTAAAATTTTCACATTGTTCTATGTCTTAAAATTAGGGATTAAAGTTAATGACCTAAAACTGCAATAGTATATTACAGTACGAGTGAAGCAATTGACAATTTCACTCACGCGTGTGTCGGATTTGCGCAATGTTTACGGGGTTGACGAAATTTTCGTAAATATTATAGGGGGTTCCTGGGGTCGCGAAAAAAATCTCAGTGATAAAAAGGGGTAGGGACTGAAAAAAGTTTAAGAAACTCTGTGTTATGTTGAATAATAAGCTTAAGTATTTGAAATTTCATTATCGAAAATTTTAATTAAAATAATAATTAAAGCAGTGAAATATTTTTCCATATTTACTATTAAAATAATTCTAAATGTGTACATTGATTAAAAAAAGAAATTTACTATCGAATCGCTCAGTGTGTACATTGATTAAAAAAATAAAAAAAAAAAAAAAAAGAGAGAGAGAGAGAGATTTGCTATCGAGGCTCTCAGTATAGCGCTTTAGAGAAACATCTTTTATTGTTTAAATAATGTGGAAGTATTCATAATTATCTGATAAATGTATCATAAAGTAATTACTTCATTTAAAATTATTTCAATCAGATAGACCATTGAACTAAACTTACATCATCAGCTATCATTAAGGCCAATAGTACACTCATTAGACCTTGGTATGGCGCAGTGCAGTTAATTTAGGTAGAACGTTATAATAAAAAGTTAACCGAAAAAAATCGTATGTATGCTTAAACTTTCATTGTTAACTTAGTGAGATATGCCGATCTATAAAAAATACATTTTTTTTCCTCAAAAGTGAATTAAAAAATTGTAAGGAGGATCCGGGTTAACTGAATCTGTAGCTAAATAAAAGTTTGTCCGCCAAATAAACAGTACCTTCTTCGCTTAAGTTTAGTACAGTAAAAGTAAAATATCTCATGTGGACACCACATAACTCCCTTGTATGGCCTATCAAATTATACACATTTTTTGCTGCATTTCATTTAAACTTATTTTCTCAAATTTCATTAGGGATATATTTTTCATTCAGTCAACTCAGTTCTCAATAAGCGGGGAGGCAAAAATACATAAAAACTCAAAACATCGTCATTAAAAATTGCAAAATTCAGAAAACCCATAAAACACCAAATACAATAAAAAACAATTCAATTTTTTTACAATTAAAATCAGAGTTTCTACACAAAATCAAGCAATTCGGCCAGCGTGCAGGTAGACAGATTTTTCGGTGCACAAAACTGAAATTTTTCTTTTGGTTCCACTCGGCAAAAGCACACTGAAGTTGGTGCACGAAACTGATTTAATTCACTATTCTCACTAAGGGGTCCAAATGTAAACAGATGGCTATTTAGGCTTAGTGGCACATAAATAACATTTAAATTGTTGATAATTCTACAACTATTTCATGCAGATTACCTGAAGGCATAAAACTTTGACCGGAATATTAGAACAGCACAATTCAATCACTTTTAAAACAAAAAATCCGCAATTTACCAACATGTAAGAATAAAAGTACTATGCTCACCGAACCAGATAACAGTATGCGTGTATATGCATACGCACACATTATATACTTTTCGTGCGGCTGATTGCAACCAAAAACGGACGTGTAATGGCAAACTACATGTTATGTTAAACGGACAACAACATGTTATGTTAAACAACTACATTTTATGTTAACAACTACATGCAGTGTTAAACGGAGGCAGTTCCCTATAAAGAAATTCAACGTTCTGTGGCTGCTCGTTATTGAGTTATGCGAGCTACATCTATACCTATGATATGTACATCTATACGTACGTACATACATACGTCCCCCCAATTTTTTTTCTGAATCCAGTTTAAATATTTTTACAAACCTTTTTGGAAAAAAAAAAAAAAAAGAGTCTTTTATTCTATCCCAGTCTAATCCAGTTTAAATATTTTTACAAACCTTTTTGGAAAAAAAAAAAAAAAAAAAAAGAGTCTTTTATTCTATCCCCACGTACAGACGTCATGCAAAAACATTGCTCAAATGGTTTCGAAAGCGGCCAAAATGGATATTTTCGCTGAAACATGATACCCGAAATTTTTCGTGATTACAGTTCTTCCTTTACTTCCTTACAAAATTATACGTTCATTTCTTTATAAGTGAAACTAAGATAATTGCGCAGTTGCACTTTAAATAGTTTGTGCTTTTAATCAAATAAGAAAATTATTGTTAATTTTTGTCAAAACAAATGTACTTTAATGGAAATAGAAAATATTTTGTTCCTTCTAATTACATAATTTTTAATAAAACTAATCAAGATAAAACAAAGAAATTCAATTCCTTTACATGTTTTACAATAAAGACATAGTTCGCCTACAGAATGAAAGACAAGACAGTTAGTTATATGCATATTTCAGTAATCCGAATGATCGTTGGTTCTAATTAGTGTGGGTAATTCTACCTGTGCGTATTTAAAATTTGTTAAGCATTTTTCTAGAGTTTTACTACGATAGGCTGATTAAATAAAAATTAAATCTGGCAACATGACAAAAGCGTGACTTCCTTGTTTTTTATTACTGGATTGAATATCATAAGGAAAGAAAATATTCCAAGGTCACGCTTCTAAATATTCCTAAATGATACCGGAAAAGAATATCTCTTTCTTTCTCCCGGAAGAATAGATTAATCATAGCAACTGAGAGAAACTTGATAAAAATTCAGGAAAAGTTAAAGTTTTTTTTTTTTTTTTTTTTTAAATCATTAACCGAGGTTGAACTTGCCATCATTCATCCACTTTGGCTGAGTTTTGCTATCGTCTGTTAAATGTTTTCCTCTTCCGCGTAACAAAGGTTAGCGATCTTGACCCGGGATCTATCTAGTTGCTTATGAATTTCTTGAAACAAAACAAGAAAGAGGCAGGCGCTAGATGTGTTATTGGTGATATACAAAGTGCTAATTTTATCATATTCGTGAAAATTACTTCATTTTTTTTTTTTTTTGAGGTCGTTATATTTCATTACCTTAGTCGAAATTTTATCTTTCCGTATACAGCATACGCTTCGGTAAATATTGCCATTTCATAATCTTTTGATTTTTAATTTATTATTTTCTTTGCCTAGCAGGTTATTAGCGCTCAGATGTTGCCATTCGAATCGCGTAAGGTCTATTGATTTATCTTTCAAACCTTACACGTTGCTAGCTAACTGAGAAATTTAAAAACTATATACGTACTTATTATTATTATTATTTATGTGCTCCGCTTTGAGCCACTATACGGAAGGGAGAGACGCCTTCGTGGAAGACTTTCTAAAGGAAACTGGCTCCTATTAACACGTTACACATGATGAAAATCACAAAAACGCCCATGTAGACAGCCTGTTCGCGGGTTTCGAACCTCGGAACGAACTACCAGTGTTCAGGGATTTTACCTCTCGCTGGTGAGCCTTATATACGTACTTTTGTGAATACATTTTACCTGTTTTAGTAACACCTCAGAGAAGGAACTTACTGCTTTCGCTATGCTAGTTTTATATAAAATATCACGTATTACGATTTGAGTTGTACGAAATATTTGTTGCAAGTCTCTTGACGCCGAGTTTCTTTATAACGGGAAAATACCTTGTAATTTTTTTTGGGGGTGGGTGTCAGATTTTATATTATATGCATACAGGACTATTGTTATCCCAAGAGGCAAGATTTTTAATTTCCACACTGTTTAAAGCAAAAATCTTTCAGAATGTTGCCATTCGATAGCATGAAATTTTTATTTTTCAAATTATAACTATAGTTGCTTAAAATCTAATCGCTATCTAAACAATAGCTGGATTTCTTTGTAATTTCTATCTTTATTTTACTTTTAATATCTAGTTGATAACCCTCAAAATGTATCAAACTAGTAACTTTTATGAATATTTACACGATTGTGGTAAACAAAAGATGTTCTTAACATCATATACAACATAATATTTGTTTGGATTTCCTTTCATGCGAAACAAATGAATTCGGTTTATAAAATTCAGTGATATTGACATCCAGATGTAAATATGCATTAGAAAGACACTTGCCCCCTTTAGCAATTGCGGTATGGAACCAACAGCGATAGACTTGGACCCGAGCCCGAAACCTAGAAAAGGCATGGATGTTTTAAGTGTATGTATTTTGAGACATGAAGATATAAAATACAACAAAACACATTTCTAGACTAAAGTCACTTCGAGAAAGTGGTGGTAAGGAAAGAAGAAGGCAGATCATCGGATCCGCCTTTTGATCAATTATTCTTCAAAATTGAGACGGTGTTAGGCAAATATTCTAAAGTGTCCAAGGCACCCCTCATCGCTTAGTTGTGATAAAATTCGCGGATTTGATCTAACGATAGGTTCAAATTAGTGGTGTTACACACAACATCAGCAGAAAGACACATTCAAATTGCTTGAATTTTTAAATTGTATAATTATATCTTGAGCTTCTCAGCGTAATCGCTTACGTTGAATAAGTACACAACACCATGAAACGGAAGCTGAATTCATCCATTCTGAATTTTATACAGATTAAAAAGAAATCCTTTTACGTGTAAATTATTCATGTCATGGACGGTTCATCATACAAATTAACGATCTATTCAATAAGGATTTTTCTTAAATTTCGAGGCAAATTTAATTATCTGGCTTTTAATTATCGGAATCTGCTGGACCACAAAGTCGTTAATTAGTGCTGTCTTTGAAAGTGAAAGTAGTTGTAGACAATCTAAAAGAATAATGCATCATTCTCTTTTAATCAACTTTATGAAAAGTAATATTGCAAAGGAAATTACTTTGCGAGGGATGATATTTTGTTTTTTAAGGAAAGCCTGAGTTTCGGATTAAGATGTAATTAAATAATGTTATTGTTTTCAGCCGCCTACTGGTGGGTGTCACGTGGAGCTCGACAACACCCGAGAGGTCTCAGATTACCAGATGAGCATGGAAGGTAAAATTTGATTAATGATTTTCTTTGTCTTTCTTTGATTAAAATAACCATTTTCTTTGGTTTTACTTATTAAGATCTGTAATCGAATTCAAAAGAATAGAAATATGTTTGAAGGAAAATGCGTTTTTAATTTTTGAAGAATGAAAATATGTTTTTAAACTGAAAGACAATTAAGCTCTAAAGAAAACTACTTCTGTACAAGATTGTTTTGAAGGCTGCAATAGCTATGAAAAAAGAATATCAAACATTTTAAAAGTCTGAAAATCAAAATTTATGTTTTAGGTACGAAAAACCTTTAATTGTTCGTTTATCACAAAGGTAAAAGACTAGAATTCTGTCTAAAAATATTAACATCATAAAAAGATTGAGTAATAAATGAATTTAAATATGTAACTTTATAAAAAAATTACATTTTAGTTGATTACTTGGATGTTATTTGCAAAAACCTTTCCCTGTTTGGCTGGCGGAAGTGTTCGTCGCCGTTGCTTTACTTTAATGTCATGTGCTGCCATCTATGGCAGATAAAGTAAACGAAATAAATTAACAACATTTTTATTCAAAAACCGCTAACTTAGTTCCAATAGTAGAGCCTTTTAAAATTCATATCTTCTCAAGGAAGCAGAAATATTTGAAAATGGATTTCACGTTTTATGCAGTAATGTTTTTTAAGCATATTATTACGTTACGCTATCTTTATATTATTACTTTTCGAATATAAAAATAAGCCTGGCAAAATTTAAATTTTAGGTTTTAGTGTTTTTCAGCATAAATGGATTATTCTAAAAGCGAGCCGCAAATCGGAATAATCTAATTGATTGCATCTCGAGCAACAGACGTTAAAAATATCGCTGTTATTTTTAACGAACTTCTTTTAATAAATAAATGTCAAGATTTATTCTTCAGCCTTGAAAGTACTTTCTCCCATTCACTTTCAGTAGAAGTGTGACACAGGCACACATTAAGGATTCTAGGTGCACTTTATTTAATGCACACACACACATTAAGGATTAACACATTAAGGATTCTAGATGCATTTAATTTAATTTCTCCCATTAAGTTTCATTAGAAGTGTGACACAGGCACACATTAAGGATTCTACATGCATTTAATTTAAGCACTTGAAAGATTTTGGTGCCCTCAGATAAATTTTTTTGTAAATTTTTGTTTTTCACACGTTTATATCTTAGCTTATTTGTATCATACAATGCATGGTAAAATCGGCAAATTTTGTGTTGCCTCCTTTCCTAAACTTCTAAGGACCTTTTTGTGGATGCCCTAAGCAAGTGCTTATTTCGCCCGCTTCCTGGCGATGCATTCCGCTCGAAAAAAAAAAAAAAAAAAAAAAAAAAAAAAAAATCAATGACAGAGATTTTGTCTCTATTTTTAAAGCTTTTATAATCGTCTTTACTCATGAATTAGATAGGCTAATTCTGTGCACTATAGCACAACACTTTTGTTTAATATAATTTTGTTATTTTTATCGAAGGAAATTTTAGTGCACGTCATTAAGGGGATTTAAAAATTAGTTTTTTAATTTTTTGTGTTTTCAACAAGAAATTTTATACATATACATATTATAACATCAGTTTATAAAATATATGTTCAAAATTTTAATTTATTTTAAATTAAAAAATTAAACAGATAATTAATTAAGACAATAACACGGGCTCACCAGCGGCCGGCGGTAAAGTCGCTGAACACTGGTAGTTCGGTCCGAGGTTCGAATCTCGCGAACGGGCTGGCTGCATGGGCGTTTTCGTGGTTTTCCCCATGTGTAACGTGTATACGAGCCAGTTTTTCTTAGAAGGTCCTCCACGAAGGCATCCCTCCCCTTAGGCAGATAGCCCTAGTGTGCTTTGCCATAGTTAAATACACACACACACAATAACACGCCGAACAAATACTAATTCAGAAGTCAAACAACAAAAATCAGCGTTATATTTTCACAGTTTCGATGGTTTTACCGAACCACCATCCTCAGCTGCGAAAGCGCCACAGCTGAGGATGGTGCTTCTTTGGCGTAGTGATGCCATTCGCAACACCCTTTTTGTCTAGTTATAAATTTATATTCGTATACTTACAAACAATATCCAAGGTATATTTACGATGATATATTTACAAAGGCATATTTTAAACCAGGTGTATATTTACAAACATGGGTCCAGAGGGTTTTTCAGAGATTTTGCATTTAAATGCTTTTTGAACAAATCGTAAATACTTGATTCACTTGAGGAATGAATTTAAAATTCATTTCGACAGCAGTATCACAAAATATTTAAAAAGAGCATATCTTTAGACTTTCCGATACACAGTCTGCCGGCTGGAGATAATTTTTTTTCCCCGTCCAGTGTTGCCATTCTTCGCTATGAAATCGTTGAGTTTGTTAATCTAAAATTCTTTAATGTCTAACGAAATATGAAATACATAATAAAACAAATTCCAAAGTCTCATATTTGGTGGAGGATTATGTTATTCAAACTTCGATGGCTCTAGGTACCGTTCTTTTAACACAATCCGAGAACACATACATATATTTATGATTATTCTTCATTAATTAATTTCTTTAAATATAGCGCAGGGTTCTAATATTTGAAAAGTAAAACGTCGTTTTATAGTGGACGACACAAAATGCCAAAACGAAATTAAGAACTTTTCTGGGCAAACTGCCACTTTGGGATAATAAAGTAAACGTGCGGAATGTGATAAATTTGGTCACATGGCGCTTTTAAGTAAAAATATGTAAAATTTGAATCATTGTACTAGACTTTTAGGGTTAAACCAAAAATGAGAAAAATTGCATTTATTAGCTAAATTAATTAATTAAAATAGACCATTGTGTTCATATAATTAGTATTATCACCTGATATATGGCTAAAAATTCGATAATCCCGCACATGTGAGACTTAAATGATGCAATATTATTAGATTAAAATTGTGTAACATCCAAAAACTGGACTAAAATTTTTATAGTGATGCTTCTCGAAAGCGTGCTTTATGAATTGTTCGAAAGAAAACATTCACCTGTTTTCAAAACCTCAAAGCGGTCGGTTTTTACATAATCAATATTGCTATCTTCGACATAATTTTGATTAATGGCATTCTACTAGCATTTTCTTCAGGCCTTTTTTTTTTTTGCGTTGTATTTTTTATATATTTTTAAGCAACAGCAGTATTAAAATTTTTATCTTGCCTGTTGAATTGAGATTCGAAAACCTTGACGCTGCAATCAGACTTTGAGCAAACGAGCTCCTACATTTGCATTAACGTACTAAATAATTCCAACATTCATATGTTGCGGGAATATATTATACTATTCCTGTGAATATTTAGTCATAAGCTTCAGTTTTTTTTTTTTTTTTTTAATTGACAATATCATCAAGGTCTAAAAACATTCTAAGTAAAAAAAAAAAAAAAAAAAAAAAAAAAAAATTGAAATAACCATAAAAGAAATAAGCCATACTAAAACAAGAAATTGCGAACAAACGATTAAACGATCGTAGATCGTATCGGAAGTGCTGAATCATTGAAAAGCGAATTATCGAACTGTTACAGTATCGCCGTCTGAAAATTCGCGAATGGTATGCAAAATATATTATGCATATAAATTTCCGAACGCAGATAAAAAAAAAGGTAGTTTTTGCATTCTAGCGCCTTCTTTGACTATTTTCAATTTTTTTTTTTTTTTTTTCCTTAAATCTGAAAGAGATTTAGTAAGCAAAATGTTTTCAAAGGGCACGTACAAAAATTAAAAAATTACATATTTTTAGCCCAGAAAGGTATTTTGTTTTGGCGTTTCATTGTAAACGGCGTTTCACTTTTCAAATTGTTGCCACCAAATATTATCGCCTCGTATTATATTTAAAGAAATTAAATAATGTAGAATGTGCACAAATCTATGTAAGTGTTTTACATTGTGATAAAATAACGGTACATAGAGCCATCAAATTTTGAATAACGTACGTCTCCACCCGAATATGGCAGCTAGAAGCCCAAATTTTAAATTTGTTTTAGTATCTGTTTCATATTTTGTAAAGCATTTATGAGTTTTTTATTAACAAACTCAACGATTTCAAAGCGAGCAATGGCAACACTGTACGAAAAATAAAAGTTTTTTATCTCCAGTGCGCGAGACTGTGTATGGGAAATTCTAATGATATGCTCTTTTTAAATTATTTTGTAATATTGCTGTGGAATTGAATTTTATGGTTTAAGTGCGAAGTATATGATATTTAATAAATAAAGGTAACACGCAAGACATTAAAAAAAGTCCCTTTGGGCGTAATATAAAACCTGGAAACTTTCAGAATTTTCGTTTTTATTTATTTTATATAAAATCATGTGACTGAAAGCCTACTTTTATGTTACTTTATTAAATCAGAAGCATCGATCTATGGCAAGCTGTCAAAATAAATATAGAATATTTTTCAATTATATATATCTCCGTTTACTACACGTGCAGCTCAGATTTTTTTTCAGGTTCTCGCTTCATTTAAACTGACACTTCATTGGCAATTTTGATTTCAAATCTCGTCTTTCCTGAAAACCCCACGAATTTCGTTTAATACAAGAATAACTAAAAATTTTGTGATTGTGAAAAAAAAAAAAAAAAAATTATTATTTTTTTAACAAATTTAACTAAAACTGAAGAGTTTTAATTTTTTTATTTATTTTATCTTTAATTGTTCGTATATGTTTCCAGAAAAATAGCTCAAAGCTTTCGATTAGTCAGTATGTTTACGCTTTAGATAACGTTATTAAACAATCGTATAAATAAATAATCGATTTTATTTCACGGATATTATTATGTTAAATAAAGTTACCCGTGTCATTTCTTAATTCTTTAATGTTGTTTCTGATGATTAGATAAAAATGATTTCTCTGAATTTTCTGAAATGACTTCTAACGGGAAATATGGATTTTTTTCAGTTACGCCCCGTTGCCAAAATACACTGGAAAAACAGTAGTCATTACTCTGCCAGAGGACTATACCATCTATGATTTTGATTGGTTCGGAGTATGGTGCGATGAAGCAAGAGTTGATTTTGGAAGTGTAGCTCTACCACAGAATATTGTCGTTCCACCTTCTCCACGTTCCCTAGGAATTGAATTAGAGGTAAATTTTTTATATTTCTAAATTATATAATAATACTAATGTAACGAAAAATTAAATGGAGTAAATACTATAACAGATGTGGCTAGCATTACTATTATTTTAAGAAGATTTCACTAAAAAATTCTGGCTTCTTTTCAGCCTCATAAAAGTAAATTTTCTGTTTTTTCAGACACTGAGATCACGTTTTTCCTTTAAAATTCAGTTGTGTTTATTTATCTGTTACTGTGATTAATAATAGCTTTTATAAGGGATACTTGGTCCTTTCTATCTTCGTGAATATTATTATGTACATTATGTATTATTAAACATATTGAGAAGCCGCATGAATATTACATACTATTATTTAAATGTTTTAGAACTGCTAAAAATGTAATTGTACCGGTTAATAATACAGGTCTGCCAATGTACCGGTGAATAAAAGTTTCCTCCTATTATCAGAAGGGAATTAATTTTTTCTTGCTGATGTTAAAATAATAGCTGATTCCCTAAAGCTCGTCATTTCTTTCCAATATTCCAATATATAGCATAGCTACATATAATTATATAAAGATAAAATTACTATAAGTAATTTAAAATGCCTAAATCTTGGGCTAAAGCAGCTAAGTAATAAAACAATAATTTTTATTAGGAAGGGTATTTATATATCATCTCCAAGGAAAAGAAATTTAATGAATGCTATGAATTATTAGGAAAGACTACTAAAAGTTTTTGTGATAATAATTATTAAATAATACTTACTAATTAATACTTAATAATACGTTCTAAATTTTTTTAGTAATTCATAGCATTAATTAAATTTCTTTTCCTTGGAGATGATATATAAATACATTTTATAATGATCAATTATATATCTCATTCCTATAAAGTAAATTTTAAATTGTGCAAATTCAATTGCTAACAAAATAAATTGATTAATGATTGATGCGAACTAATTTTCAATATCGTTAACTTCAGAAAACAAAAGTAAATAAAAAATTTTAGGACAGTATTATTTTTTCTTGTATTTACATGCTTGCACTTTATTTACTTATGTTTTCTGAATTTAATGGCATTGCAATTATTAGTTCGCAGCAATTAATACATTTATTTTGTTAGCAATTGAATGTGCACAATTTAGAATTTTAATTTATTTTATATGAATGAGATTATAATATTGTATTTATTAAATTTATATTTCCTTCCTTGCAGCAATAGCGCAGGAGAATTATTTAACTCTACTAATTAGTTTTTAATAACTTATATATATTATAGAATATTATAAATTATATATATATATATATATATATATATATATATATATTAATCATTATAATATATATATATATATACATATTAATCATTTATATGTAATTCAATTTAATTAAAAATTTAATTAACTTTAAATTTGCCCTTTAGGAATGGAGAATGTTTGTTATATATATAAACATATAGAGATATAATCAATGTATAATGATTTAATCAAACTTTGTAGTTAACAGTTTAACATCAAGAACATGCTATTAAAAATGAAACAGAAGCAGAACAAATCCTTAAAACAGCGTAATAAAAAATAATATAACAAATAGTTGAAAATTCTTTACTCTTTTTCAAGGAGCAGGCAAAAATTTTGAACATAATTCAGAAACGTGTGAGTCTGTTGAAAATTTTTCGATTACTCCTTGAAAAAGACCAAACAAATTTTAACTACTTTCACATTATTTTTATTATGTTATTTTGCTGATTTTTTTATTTCGATTTTGACGTATGTAGTTTTAATGTTCTTGTTAGGCTCTAAACACAAATTTTAATTTCATTATTATATTTTGACTATTTTATTTCGCAGTATAATGCGCAACTTTAATAATTTATAATCTTTACTTTGAAATTTCTAAACTTTTATATATCTATATCTATAGCTATATGTACAATAATAATGAAGTGATAATAATAAAATCAAAATTGCCAATTAAGAATATTTAATTAAAAGAATCTAAGTGATTTAAAAGTAAAACAAAGTAGAAAATTTTAAAAATGTTTTTAATTTAATTAATCACCATGATATTGATCATATATAAAGAGTGAGCTAAAGTTTCGTTAAAACTTTAAAAATTCCTAAAAAAGAAAGACATTATAATAAAGGTGTGCGCTTTGCAAGAAAAGGCTCACAAGGAAGTCGGATTTTTTTAGCAGCAAAAATTGTTTAATTAAAAATGTCACTAACTGAGGACGCTGATATGCGAAAGATTCAGCAGAATTAAGCAAATTAATCTTGCAAGAAAAGACCGTGATATACGAGGATTTCTCATTCGGTTTCAGAATGTAATCATTACCCTAACCAGCGTCGGCGAAAGGCCGAATTACTGCTGTGGAAACCACTGTGAATGATATAGCAGGGGAATCGTCCACGAGGAGCTACAGTGCTCGCAAGGAAGGGTACTTGATGTGCCTCATTCATTGATTCGACGTATCCTCCATTGGATATTTATTGAATCTGTATCCCTAAAAACTGCAGTCACTGCATGAGTTACAACCGGGATACACAGCCATGAAGGAATCATATGCCTAGTGCACTATGGCAAGAATTGAAAGAGAAACTCATTGGTTGTTCAACGTTTTCTGGACGGATGAAACGCACTTCACACTACACAGGGATGTCGACTCCCAGAACACTCGTATACGGGCGACGTCTAATCCTCGTGAATTCACGACGAAGACAAGGTGAATCGAGCCAAGGTGACAATCTGGTATGTCTTCACCTCATCTTTCATTCTCAGACCATTCTTTTTTGAAGAACCGTGCCCCATATCCGGCTGGAAAAACGTGCGTAGTAACAGCTGAGCGTTATCTCACTCTTCTGCGTAACAAAGTCGTGCCCGCATTAAATCAAAGAGGTGCATTACCTGTAATAAGCTTTATGCAAGATGGCGTAACGCCACACTATGCCAATGCCATAAAACGATTTCTATTGAGTACCTTTGGTGAAGACAGAGTGATCAGTCTAGGCTGTACGATCGCATGGCCTCCATGATCACCCGACCTCACTCCGGTCGACTGGTTACGGGGCTATTTAAATGATTTGTACACTCATCTCTTCAATATTGGCCGAACTCAAAGTTTCTGTCTGTCGTGAGGTTTCTGCAATTCATTCCAAGATGTTGCATTCAGCTGTAAAGAGGTTATCCAATATGGCTACAGTCCCTGCTAGACGGGACTTTTCTGAGAAACGAGATTCTGCTATCACCGGTTTAAATGGGAGAAAAAGGAACTCCGCTGGAAGCGAAGTCCGCCTAGCTATGGAAGCAATGGTGCGGCTACGCGGGATTTTTTCAAACCTCACCGGAAATGTTTCGGGTCCCGGGTAGAGACAACCAATCAGACGAAAGTTCTGCTTCTGAAGGATCACGGGATCCCAATTTGAAAGATAATCCATTACTGTTTCGCGTTCAAATCTTTGTAAGTGAGAATGGTAACCTAGCTACGTGTGTTTCCTGGAATTGTGCGGGTTTTGAGAATTGTCCCTTTTGACGTCAAGTCCCGCGTAGGCGAAACATAATGTGATTGGAACTTTACGAGCGTTGTGAGTCGCCTTAGCTCCGTCGTGCAATGTTCTGGAGGTCATGTTTAACAATTATTATTGCAAGAAAAAATTAATGGAGCGTACTGTTGTTCTGTTCATTGTGTCTCGAGTCGTCATAGTCCTCTACCGGTGAGAATTTAAATACAAGTTTTTGTTTTTTTTTCTGCTAAACATATTCAACTTGGGAGCCCTTTCTTGCAAATCTCACTTCTTTATCCTAATTTCTCCCCTTTTTATGAATTTTAACAATTTAAACGAACTTTTGGCTCAACCTGTATATAGGATATTGCGTATGATTGTGATGAAAACGAATATTTGTGAAGTTCATTGTAAAATATTTTTGTGTGTAAATGGATTCAAAATGATGAGTCTCTAAATCTGTTTTAACGACAAATCAGCACTCGTTAAGTTGGTAATCACAGTAGAGAGAAAAATATATATAAGTAAATCTGCGTCCAAAAATTATTTTAGATACATAAACATGATACTATTTCTTGAAGTAATTAATCAGTCTGAATCCTTTTTATCTTGAGACAAGCAAAAGGTAATTATCATTAGCCAACAGATTAATCCGTTACTGAATCTAAATCATGGCACTACATCATTTAAAGGCGTGGCAAAACTAAGCACTAAGCACGCCATCTTCTTCAGTTCAGAAATTGATTGCAGCGTTTATCCAGACAAGAAACTTTACCTGTATCGATTTATTTGTATGTAAATGAGCGGATGAATAGTTAGGAACCTTGAGGTGAAATGCAATTTATAGGTCTATGAATGATCCTATACAAAGTTTCCTTTATACTCTTAATGAGACCAGAACCAGCTATTACAAGTGAAGCTTTTATCATTATGCTCTTTGACAGGGACTTAAATCCGATACTTGAAAACTAGAACTTGAGTTCCTAATAATTTCATCATTACTAAATAAATTTCTGATAAACTGCGTGTTAAATTTCCATTTTAAGTGTGCAGCTTGTCCGCTCAAAGCTATCATCCGAAACTAATGAGCAAATTACTAAGGTAATGTGGAAACCTTTTGAGTAAAATAAACAGATTACTAAGATACATTTCTTTATACGTGTATGATATGCACTAGAATAGTAAAAGCAAAAATATACTTAAAAGATGGTGTTGGTGTATTTAATTATGGCAAAGAACACTAGGGATATCTGCCTAAGGGGAAGGATGCCTTCGTGGAGGACTTTCTAAGGATAATTTCTTAAAACATTTTTTACAATTAAAATTAGAGTTTCTAGCAAAACAAGCATATCAGCCAGTGGGTAAGAAGGCAGATTTTTTTGGTGCACAAAACTGAAGGTTTACCTTTGGTCCCACTCGGCAAAAAAGCACTGAAGGTGCAGAAACTGACTTAATTCACTAAATTCTACTGAAGAGTTTTAAATGTTAACAGATGGCGGCTACGTTAGGTTTAGTGGCACTTCAA